GTGCATCATGAACAGTGAGTGATCTGCCTGCTACAGTATTTTTCTCTGTGCGTCCGTCTTCAACGTCTCTGGCCTGTGTTAACGGGCGTTTACAGACTTCATATTTTCACATAAATTACATTTTGGAAAACGACTGCATTGCAGCGCAGTTTGTGCAAGTCCAGAACAGAGACGAGTTGCTTGCAATAAGACAAAAAACAGCCGCTTGCTGATCGCGTAAGTTCCAGGGGAAGCTCCTTAGCTCGGCCATCCTACACACACACGTGACTGACTGCTCACTTGCACCAACAAGAGGAGGAGGGTCGTGTTACTCTCTACACTGCACTCAACCTGAGGGATTCCTACACTTTCAGTCTTTGAGGAAGACATGAAAAACCTGCATACTGCAGGAACGGTATAACGGAAAATATTAGCGGTTTTGAAACCGTGACATTTTAAAAATCGCAGTATACCTTGAAACCGGTAATCGGCCCATGCCTAATTTACTCAATTATTCAATAAATCGATGTTATTGCGAATATTAATGTACTTGTTCATCATTGTGTCAGTGTTTTAATCGCAAGAACAACAAAGTAACGAAAGTAGAAAGTAGAAACATGGTGGCGACTTCCATGTAAGGGGACCTATGGTGTATGTAGACATAAATTGCTCAATCTAAGGTAATAAAAACATAACGGTTCATTAAGTAAGGTCTTTATACACCTCTGAAAACATAGTTATGTACTGTATATTATATTGCATTTCTGTCAATAGATCGATGTAAATATTACACATTGCACCTTTAAAGGATTAGTTCATGATCAGAATAAAAATTTCCAGATAATTTACCTTTTAAAAAAAAAAATAATAAATAAAAAATGTATATACTTTTTAACCACAAATGCTCATCATTAGCTCGACCTCACGTATTACATAATCATGTTGGAAATACACATATACACATACTGTATACGCACTGCAGACAGAGCACGTGTGAACTTGACGCGACAAATCTAGTTCAACATCTGAGGCAACGCCACGAAGAGCTCTATGACCAATGCATGGCAAAAAAAAATCCTTGGACACGGGATTTTTTTTCTTTTTTCTGCCATTTGTCTATTCTAGAGACATTTTGTTACACTTTTACTTCGTGATTATTTTGCCTTATGTCTGTTCTAGAGACATGTTACAGCTTTTTGATAAAGCTCTAATTGGTTTTCTTTTGGAAATATGTTTCAAATTCACACTGAATGCATTAATGACTGTAAAGCATGTCTGTGTGTGTCAAAATCGTGATTAAAATCGAAATCGCAAAATTTATCAAAGAAATCGAGATAGGTTTTTTTTGTCCATATCGCACAACCCTAGTATATACCATTGTACTATTTATGTTATACTTTTTGAATTAGCTATTATTTTTATATATTTAGTTTCCATTTTAATTCTAGTAATAAGATTTAGTACGTTTGTTTGCATGTGTAATTTGTATTCTTTTTTTTATTTCCCTTTAATATTTCCATCATTTATTTTTTCATCTAATATTTGTATTGTACTTTATTTCAGCTTTCTTTCAATTGACAAAAGCGATTTTAATAGTTTTATTCTTAGTTAATAATAACAACACTGTTATAGATACAATAAAAATGAACTGGAACTACTGTACTTCAGAAATGATGTCAATAAAAATTACACGGAAGTGGTTAATATGATGCTATATTTGTGTGCTATATTCCAAGTCTTCTGAAAACGTACTAAAGCTTTATTTGAGGAACAGACCAAAATCCAATTTTGTGTTTATGGTAAAGAACTTAAAAATTTGAAAAAAATCTCTTTCTTTCACTTAAATCAATTTATGTATTTTCCTCACACTATATTATCATATGGATTCAGAAGACTACAGAAAAATATAGTGCACAAGAACCATGTGAACCACTTTTATGATAATGTTATAGTGTTTGAAAGCTCTAGTCCCCATTCATTATAACTGCATGGAAAACAACATCCAAACAATCGAGAGTTTCTCATTCATCCCAGCAGAGGGAGCTTCAAACTAACCTCTGCCACCAGGTCGTGGGCCCAGAAGCAGGCGTAATGGAGAGGGGTGTTGCCGTGCTCGTTTGCTGAATTGGTATCTGCTTTGCACTGGATCAGCTAGACAACACAAACAATATGATTCAGTACCCAAAACAGCAAATACAAAAAGATTCATTCAAAATGCTTTTTATGGAACTAAAAGGCATAAAATGGAAATTGTCAGTTCCGTATTCCTTTTTAAGTATTTAAAGTTTGTATGTAGGTATTTATAACTGCTGTTAGCAGCTGTGTGTTTGTTTACACCTTTCCGTGACCGTTGTGGTCACTGTGGTTGTTCAGGTGCAGGCGTGTGTGTATGTTTGTGAGCGTTTATCCACTACAATCAGTTTGCACCTTGGCCAGAATGTCACGGTGGCCGTGGCTCGCAGCCAGGTGCAGGGGTGTGTCGTCGCCGCGGTTCATGACATTGATGCGCGCCCCTCTCATGATGAGCATATCCACGACACCTGAACGGCCCTCACGGCACGCCCAGTGCAACGGACTGAACCCGTGATCATCCCTGCAAGAAATAAACACATCAGCATATTTAGAGTCAGTAGCGTATTATAACGATCACATGAATACTTATTAAAAAAAATAATAATAAAAATCACACACACACAATCACTAATCACTGCATTTAAAATTTTCATTCATTTAGATTATACATTTTTAACATAATAGTTCATGTTAAAACAGTCTAATATCTTGCTTGTTTAATTTATGTATGACTGACAAATATGCATCATGAAGTTTTTTAGTTCATGTTAAAACTAAATGTTTGAATACATGCATACATGTTTGGAAATAATGACAGAAGTTTCGTTATTGGGTGATCAAGGCACAGTTTAAATCAAGGCACAGTTTTTTGCTGCAGTGTTCGGCGGTAAACTGTCTCCAGTCAGGCTAGTGATCCCGCTTTCAGCTGTCTGTCTCCAGCCAGTTAAATATAAACAGCCGTTAACTGGCCCTTTCCTCCAGATCATGTATACCCCCCCACCCCCCTCTGTTTGAGTCCGAGATCCGTTCTCAGGCCTTCCTATTTCCTTTTCAAAACCGCAGCAAAACTCACACTTACAGTCGACAGTCACCCTAAAGTTACAATAAAAACACTGTGATCAGATCAGAGCCTGTGCATTAGTGCTGCTACAGAGAGCACATGTGAATGAATTACTATTAAACCACTGAACGCAACTGCTGAGAGTGTGCTATAAATAAACGAATGCAATGCAGCTTGTGCTCGTGCTCATCCTCACAGTAATTAGTTGTAAGCTTTTGTCTTCAATAATGAAGTGTTTGTTGAAGGCCTGGGTGTGTGCACTACAGTAGGAAGTCTCTGGGTAAATAATAAAGCCAGTAGTGTGGCTAAACTTAGGGTAGTTGCTGGAACTACTCACAATGTCCTGCCGGAACAGACCAGACCACACACACACAGTCAAATGATGGCTTAGTCAAAACTGAAGGGGTTAAAGACAAATAAACAGGAAGTTCCCCCTCCTCAAATAAACAAAATAAAATTGGACAGTGAGTCCTGAGCTTCCTATTGGGAATTCCAGAATGTTCTTTATTTCGGGCCAAACTGCACATTTCAAGGAAGGAAGGAGGGGGAAAAAGAAAGAATGCATGCAAGGCAAGGAAAGTGACAAACAAAGCAGGAAAGAAAGCGGCAAAAAAGGAAGAAAGGAAGAAACCGGGAAAAACAGAAAGCTATAAAGGAAGAAGAAAGAAGTGGGAAAGAAGGAGTAGTGGGGAAAATGCAGAAAAGGAAAAATGGGGAAAGAAAGAAAGAAAGCTAGCAGGAAAAATGGAAGCGGAAAGAAAGGAGGAAAGAAAGGAAGGAGGCAAGGAAAGAAAGAAAGAAAGAACAGCAAAGAAAGAGTAACAGGAAGAAACCTGGGAAAGACAGAAAGAAAGTTGGAAAATAATATGAAAAACAAGAGGGAAAAACAGAAAAAGGAAGAAAGTGAAAAGGAAGCAAAGGAAGGAAAAGAAAGTGCAGACTGAAGCAGAAAAGGAAGAAAATGGGACAGAATGGAATGAAGCGGGAAAGAAAGAAAGAAACTAGGAAAGACAGGAAGATTGAACAGAAAGTAAGCTTTAAAGGAAAAAACATGAAAAAAGGAAGAATCTGGGGGGAAAAAAAGGAAAGAAAGAAGGAATAGTATGAGGAAGAAACCGAGAAAAACCGGAGTTGGAAAGTTGGAAAGAAAGGGAGCTAAAACAGGGCAAGACAACAGGAAATTAACAAGAAAGCAAGAAAGTGGGAAAAAAATTAAAAAGCAGGACAATGAAGAAAGGAGAGCTGTAAGAGAGCTATCTGTGGTGACTCTTATCACATCACTCAGCAGCGCTCCGACACACAAATGAAGCAGCAGAGGGGCGGACTGCGGAAACCAGAGCAGGAAACACAGGAAATAATATTCCACGCTCTCTCTTCCACTGCTAGCGGCTCCCTCTCTTCGCCTGTGTGAGTGTAAACGCTCTGGACAATTCATATCCAGTTAGTTTCTCTTGTCCATGTAAGGACGTGAAGCACGCGCTGTTAACCAGCATGTGAGCACACACACACACACACACACACAGAAAGGAACGTTTATGCTAACAGACTTACAAACGTACAAAGACAGACTATGTAAACATTGATACTGGAGTTACACAGCTGAAAGATTACGTCTTGAGCCTGCAGTTATACGATCAAAGAGTTGAAAAGCGCAGTTATTAAGAGCTAACTCTGGCCAAAAACCATTCTGGGGTTGCGTTGGGCGATGATTTAAAAGTACAACTCCACATCTGAGTTCAGGTTTCTACCTTTCAGCAAAAATCTGGTTGAGTGAAAGCTCGTACTGAATTAGATCATAAACCGCACATCAGTGAGGCGCCAAGTCTAAAACTGTATCTGAGCTAACAGGCTAGTGAAGTGGGCCAGACTGACGTATGTGACAGGAAATGTAACTGAAAAAGGTCAAATAATATTGTAGAACATTTAAAAGGTACCTTCTGATCCAAAAACAGACATCAAAACGGATGTACAAGTGTTATATTTTTAAACAGTGCAGCTAAAAACAAGAAGTTAAAATAGTTTTAGTAGTAAATAATTCACACCAAACACTGTAAAAGCTTCTGATTGGCCTGAGCTTCAGTAGCTTCAGTGTCCGTTTTAAAGCCACAGAGACAAACACAGCTGTAACCTAGCATTTAGTTTGCTTCAGGATTCTGTTCTTCTACTATCATTAGCCGCTCTGAGTTCCCATCCAGACATCAAGAATGAAAAACAGCCACAAAATGGGTCAGTTCCTCTTTGAGTCACAATTTGAGAGCAGACCCACAGTCAACTTAGATGACATTGACTACTAGAGAAGCACAGATGCAAAATTTGGGTGCTGATACGGATATCCGATCTGCAAAACAACTTGAAACACGGATGATGTAACACAAAGTATTATACATTGCACACAAGCAACATATAATAAAAATGTTAACTTGCTAGAGTACAGAATTGCACATGGAAAGTCACTGAACTCTTTTCTTTTACTTTTAACAATAAAGTTATTTAACTTAGTAAATATTTCACCATAATCTTTTGATTTTAGACCATTCTCAGTCAAATTTAGTTTTTTATTATATTATTTATAATATTATTGTCTTATTTTTTAAACATTTTTTGTTGACAATATGCAAATTGCTACAATGTTTTAGACCAAACTTTGGCCAAACTTTACAACAATTTGAAAAATGACATTTATTGTCATTTAAAAACATCTATGAATTAACTTGTCAAACATAGGTTTATCTGTCAAGCTTTAAGTTACTTTCTTAATACATGTTCAATAAATATACTTAATACCTGTGTTCTAATTGAGTAAGATTTCTCAGTATGTGTTCATAATCTTTCATTTAAATGTAATAACTTACGCCTCTTTTGAAATGATCTTCCTGTTGTAAAGAAATAGAAGATATTTTGAAGAATGTTGGTAACCAAACAGTTGCTGGTAGCCATTGATTCCATAGTATTTTTCCACTACTACAGACGTCAATGGCTACCAGCAACTGTTTGATTACCAACATTCTTCAAATTATCTTCTTTTGTGTTCAACAGATGAAACTCATGCAGGTTTGGATCAACTTGAAGGTCAGTGAATAATGACAGAATTAAAGTTTTTGGGTGAAATATCCCTTTAAGAAAATAAAAAGGCTACAGTCTACTTTAATTTCAATGTCAATGCTTGAACAACAATTTCAAAATCAATTTAAATGGAAGTTAAGGCCAAATTTTCATGAATTTCCATATATGTTTAACATATTATACATCTAGTTAAGAAGATAAGATATAAGACAGGAGTCCAGTTTGCTGACTGACATGTTGTAATGTGAAGCATAAACAACGCCCATGTATGTCTGCTATTTCCTGTCTCCTCCCACAAATACGTAAGGTTGTGACATTTCAAGCCATGCTGAAACTCATCATGGCCCTTCAGAAGAATTGAATTAAACACCCACTCTTCTCATCGCTCATTTCAAAGGATCAAAATCATTTCATTAGGCAAACCACAATATGCAAAAGCGAAAGGCGAATCCCTTAGCTGGAGTTTTTCTATTTTTGGATAAGGAGAACACTTTGAGACGGGTAAGCGGGGAGGAAGAGAGAGAGAGAGAGAGAGAGAGAGAGAGAGAGAAGTGTCACAGAGAGGACTGGTATGGCTCAATTCAGCATGCTTTGGTTGGTGAGCTCATCATATGGAAACTATTCATCGCAACCATTTCATTTTAGCCCAGACCGTTCCCTCCTCCCCGTCTTCTGAGTCACAAATTAGACATGGACTCCAACTCACACTGGCTTGAACGGCAGATTTGTAGAGGATCCATTGCCGTTTAGAGTAGGGAACGCTAACATAAATAAAAATGAAGCGTATTGTCTTATTTTTGGCTTTTGTGCTAGTTGAGTTAGCGTTTTCCCCCCTGCTGGCAGTTTCTCAAGTAAGTCAAACATTTCTTTTGTCACATAATTTCAAAGTCACAACTTCAGCCATGTGAAGAGTAGGGCTGGGTATAGTTCAAAAATTTTCGATATCGATATCGATACCGATACCTTGACTTCGATACCAGTTCCTGAACTATACTTTTCGATACCAGTTTTATGAAATCAATTTTAACAAGATTACATTATCTAAAAAAAACAACTTTGGTTTTATTTTTCAGCTTGTTGATGTTTATACAAACTCAGAGACTCATATCCTGAGCCACTGCACAAAGGAACAAAATGTAACCAACAGAATAAATCAGTGCAAATAGTTTTAATAAAGCTCAAATAGTCTTCAGTTTACACATCTGTTAGGCTACATTTACACTAGTTAGTGTTCGTTTTAAAATGCATAGCTCAGACAGAATCATGATTTCTATTTATTTTCCACTGATTTACTGATGAGCATTAGCAGCTTCCAGTGCTGTCTGACTGTGTTCTCTCTTCCATGATCACTGCTCTGACTCAGAGGTAATAACAGATTTAATTTCAGCAACATTACA